TCTTCTGGTTGCCCAGAGAGACAGGCAGAGCGTGTCTGTTGTCTACTCCCAGTTCTCTGGTGCTGGGGCAACTGGGGTACAATGGAATGGCAGCAGCTGCATGGGAGTTTGCATGCCCATATTAGACCTCGTTCAGCCTACTGGGGCAACCAGGGGGCAGAAGATTGGTAGTAGCCGGATCAGTCCTAGTTCAGTACCCTGGAGCAGCTGGGGCGAGGAGGCAGGGAATGGCAGCGGTAGAGTAGGGTATGCGAGTGACCAGATCAGTGTTAGTTCAGCCCCACCAGAGTAGCTGGGGGGAGTGGAGGACTCCTTCGCTGTGGCCCGTTGGACGTGTGCGGCACTAGCAAGCCAATCTATTTCCTCCCAGCTTGGGAGCCCAGAGTGGGGAACTCCTCCACCTCGTCTGTGGGACACACGTGGCTCTAACAAACAGTTCTGGTCCCGCCCAGAGTGGAAGACTTCTCCACCACCTGCTGTAGGGCTCGCGTGGCTCTAGCAAGCAGTTCTGGGCCCACCCAGCACAGGTGCCTGGAGCAGGGAACCCCTCTGCTGGCCCCCGTTGGGTGTGTGTGTCTCTAGAAAGCTGTTTGGGGTCTGCCTGGAATGGAGTACTCCTCCGCCACTGCCTGCAGGACACTTGTGGCACTAGCAAGCAGTTTTGGGCCCACCCAGAGCCCTGGAGCAGGGATCTCCTCAGCTGCCCGTGGGGTGTGTGGCTCTAGTAAGCAGTTATGGGTCCTCCCAGAGTGGGGCACTCCTCTGCCACCACCCATAGGGTGTGCAAAGCTCTAACAAGTAGTTCTGTGCCTGCCTGGAGCAGGGGAAGTCCTCTGCAGCCACCCGCAGCCCACAGGAGGTGTGCGGCTCTAGCAAGCAGTTCTGCGCCTGCCCGGGGCCCTGGAGTAGGGATCTACTCTGCCGCCTGTAGGGTGCATGGCTCTAGCAAGCAGTTCTGGGCCCTCCCAGAGTGGGGGACTCGTCTGCTGCCACCTGTGGGGGTGCGCAAGGCTCTAGCAAGTGGTTCTGCACCTGCCCAGAGCAGGGGAAGTCCTCTGTGGCCACCCACCGCACGCAGGAGGTGTGCGGCTCTAGCAAGCAGTTCTGCGCCCACCCAGAGCCCTGGAGCAGGGATCTACTCTGCTGCCCGTGGGGCACGCGGCTGTAGCAAGCAGTTCTGGGTCCTCCCAGATTTGGGGAGACTCGTCTGCCGCCACCTGCGGGTGTGCGCAAGGCTCTAGTAAGTACTTTTGTGGCTGCCTGGAGCAGGGGAACTCTTCTCTGGCCACTTGCCACCCGCGGGAGGATTGCGGCTCTAGCAAGTGGTTCTGGACCTG